GGGGGGGGGGGGGGGGAGAGAAGGAGGGGGAGGGCCGCTTGCGGGCCGCCCGCGCCCTTGGACCCCCCCCCCCCCCGGGCCCCCCACACCCCCCCCCCCTCTCCCCCCCTCCCCCCTTTCTCCGCCTCCCGCCGAGTTCACCCGTCCCCCCCCCCGCTCCCCCCGCCCTCCCAGCATGTCCGCCATTCCTTCCCTGCTTGCCAAGGGCGCCGACCCCAAGCGCCCGGAGCTGGCCGTCCCCTTCTCCATCCCCCTGCCGGCTGGCATCTACACCGACTCGGCCCAGGCGACCGAGATCTATGAGACCCGCGGGGCCAACGGCCTGGATTCCTGGGGCCTGCTGTCCATGCTGTTCAGCATGTTCGCTGTGATGCTGCGCGTGCGTCGGCCCGCTGCCCGCCCGCCCCTTTTGCTTCCCCCCCCCCCTGCCCACACGCCCCCGTATGCGCCCACACCAGCGGGCATCCTCGCGGCTGCCATTGCCCCCCCCCCTCCCCCCTCTTCGCGCCAACTCACACCCACACGCGTGCATGCCCGTCCGATCGACGCCCCGGCCATCCGCCGTCCAATCTGTCGACACCCGCGAACGGGCGAAAAAAAAAACAACCCACGACGCCATGGCCCGGCGCCACAGTACCGCTACGCGGCCTGGGCCTCGCTCCTGGCCACCGCCGTCGGCCATGCCAATCGCGCGACCCTCAACGGCAAGGGCGGCTCCGCCGAGAAGCCCGCCTCGATGAACCTCATGTGCGTGTGTCCGCCGCCCCCGGCGTCCCCCCTGGTCCCCTGCCCTCTCTGTGCCTCTCCCCCGCCCCCCGCCCCCCCCCATGCCTGTGCATTGTGCGGCCCTCGACTCACACATCACCATGAACCGCACGCGCACGCACCCAGGTTCACCCTGATGGGCTTCATGATGACATACATGCCGCTGCTGACCGGGCAGAAGAAGTAGGCATGCGCCGTCCCCCCTGACCTGCGGGGCTGGCGGGAAAGTTCCCCGCCCCTCCCCCCTCTGCCTTCTTCCTCTGCTCAGACCATCGAAGCAA